TGACTCAAATCCAGAGCTTTTTCAAAATAATAGACACTACACTGTATCATTTTAAACCTTCTTTTGAAAAAGACCCTTAGGTATTAAGAGTCAGTGTAGACAGCTCACTAGATACCAGGGTACAAAAGTTCCAAATATATTTGATAGTCAGATTATAAAAGTGTGTGCTCTAACTTGGTCATATACAAAGTACCTATTTATAGTCAGGCTATCTATTAATAAACCTTTCTTACTGAAGACCCTTGGTTTGAAAATATTCCTATAATAGATAAAAGAACTGGTTTTACTGAGCCTATTTTCTCAGATCATAAAGCCCTATTTCAAATCAAAGAGAACATAAAGTTTTTGATTCCGATTAGCATTCTACTTTTTTCTGAATTCACTAAATCTAAGTGAATATTATAGTTGCCAGTCTTCAAGATGGTCCCAACAATCCCAGCTCCAAGTGTGTGAATAAATCTCCCCCCTCCCTGTTGAGTGCAGCTTGGAGTGTGTGGGGTAGACTTGCTTCTAATAAACAGAGCATAAACAAGCAATTTAAGAACAGGTCATAAAAGGCAGAGTGACTTCACTTTTTTCTTTTTTTTTTCTTTCCTTTTTTTTTAAGATTTTATTTATTTATTTATTTTTTAGAGAGGGAAGGGAGGGAGGGAGAGAGAGAGAGAGAAACATTAATGTGCAGTTGCTGGGGGTTATGGCCTGCAACCCAGGAATGTACCCTGGCTGGGAATCAAACCTGGGACACTTTGGTTCCCAGCCCGCACTCAATCCACTGAGCTACGCCAGCCAGGGTTCACTTTTTTCTTTATGGAGCAGCACACATGACTATGAACTGAAGCCACTGAAGCCACCTACTAAAGTCGCATGAGTTGAGCTTGGAGTTTAGCTCTAGTCAAGCCTGTAGAGAACTACAAAGCCCCAGCCCTGATCCAGAGCCGCCCAACCAAGCCACTCCCAGATTCCCATTAAAAGGGTGCAAGGGAACTTTTGGCAATAACTGAAACATTATCTTCATTGTGGGTGGTTTTTATATGGGTGTGAACATTTGTTAAAACTCAAACTACACACTTAAAATGGGTGTATTTTATCATATGTGAACTATACTTCAGTAAAGTTGATTCTTTTTAAAAAAGAGGCCACTGAATTCTTGAGATAAGCAGACAAAGGGTCACTTATAAAAAGCAGTGCCATGACTCAAAAGATAAGTAGTGAGAAAATAGAAGCTTCAGTAACAAGCTACCACCACAAACTCAGGCCCTACACTGCTCCTCAGAATTATTCCACCCACAGCCTTTCCCATCTCAGATGACAGTGATCCCATACTCCAGTTGCTCTCGCCAAAACAGTTAGTCATTCTTGACTCTCACACCCCACAACCAATCCATAAGCAAACCCTGTTGGCGCTATCTCAAAATACGTGTAGACTGTGACTACTTCTCACAACCTCCACTGCTGCCCCCATGGTCTCTCACTCTTGCCCCCTGCAGCCTATTGTTAACCCAGCAGCTACAGTGCTCCTTTCAAAACCCTGGCAGATCATATGGTTCATCTGCTCAAAAACATGAAACAACTCCCCATTTCACTCAAAGTCCATCTTGTTCCAATAGCTACCTACCATGGTCACACAAACTGGTAGCTCCTTACTATCTCCCCAGTCTTGCCTCCCACTACTCCTACTACTCTGCTCCTTGCTCAGTCTTCTCCAGCCACACTGGCCTGCTTGCTGTTTATCAAACACACACACTCTAGGGCCTCTACAATGGCTGTCTCCTGGGCCTGGAACACCTTTCCCCCCCATACCTGCATGGCTCATCATTTATTAACCTCCTTCAGGTTTCTGCTCAACCTAGACTTTTTTACCTAGACTACCTAGTTAAAACTGCAGACATTCCTACTCATCCTTATTTTACTCTACTTTTTCTCTTTATTTCAGAGTACTTACCATTTTGCAATATAATATACATATAATTTATTTATTATGTATATTGTCCACTCTTCCACTCCTTCCATAAAACAACCTCTAGGGCAAGATCTTTGTTTTGTTTACTAATATATCAAAGTGCCTAAGACAGTGTCCAGTATACATAACAGATATTCAACAAATACCTTCTAAGTGAGTAACTTTTTGAACTGTGTCACATAGGGGGCTAAGCACTTTGCATTCACTATTTCAATCACTAGGGCAACCCTAGGAGGTATGCATTAACTTCATTTTACAATTGAGAACCATAAGATTAAATAATCTGCCCAAAGTTACATAATAGCAAATAAAACCAGGACTGAATTCTGCCTGACTCTAAAGCCTTACCCATTAATGGGAAGAGAACAAAGCTGCTTCAGGAAGTAAACTGGTGGAGAGTACTTGGGGGAAACAAGACACTGATCTATGACCCAATATAAGGAGGAGAGGCAAATAATTAACATTGGGGCGGGGGGGTTCCTTCAGTTTTTCCTGGTTTCTAGTCCTTGTCCTGTTAAGACAGAAATAAAAGCTAATGTTGAACAGAAAAAGATCATAAAAAAGGAGGAAGAGAGACCCTATAGCCTGAACTCCATGGATGAGAAAACATGGGTCAGTATCTTTTTTCCAAATTCACTGGCATACTTTATCCCAGTGGCATGGGGTAATATGAGCAGGATTTTTTTTTTTTTTTGCTTTAAAATGCTTTTCATCCTCTAGATTCTACTAGTGCCACTATAAGTGGTGGCGAAATTGTATTTGAAAAATACATGATCTACACATAAACATTTACAGATTTAAATCTGAGGGAAAGATACTGATTTTTTGCCAGTGTTACCATTCTTGGAACACGGCCACACTCATTTGTTTACATGTTGTCTATGCTCTTTTCACACACTAAGAACAGAACTGAGTAGTTGCAACAGAGACCATATGCCTGCAAAATTGAAAATATTTAATATCTGGCCCTTTACAGAAAGAAAACTTCTAAAACAAATATTAACAAAACATACGTTTCCTGATACCTTACATCATCAGTTTTATCACTTTTCTGATATATTTGAAAACATATCCTCTAAGTGCTAGAATATGCCGTTAAAACATTTGTTATTGTTGGTCAAACAATGAAAAACACCTCAATGGATTAAGTCCAAGGATAATAATGGTCTTCAATCTAATAAACAGATATCATTAAATTAATTCAAGTAAACTACTTCCTAGTAGAGTTGACACCCATTTAATAGTTATTAAACACTGGAGGACTTCAGTAACATTGAGATATCAATTTTGAAGTCTAAAAATAGTTTAGCATTAAAGTTGAAGGGAAAGGATTTATTTTTGGTAGGTCTGTAGTATCTGACCTACCACATTAAACAAACTTTAAGCATGTATTTTGAACAAGAGAAACAATAATTTCTTAATTTAGTCACACATACATACACCAAATAGACGTACCCACCAAAAGTAATAATCCTACAGTGACTTCAAAACTTCTCCCTTATATATAGGAATCACCAAATAGTAAAATCCAGAACATTTGCATTTAATCTTCCAAGTACGCTAATACACAGGAAAGCAAATTACTTATTATTACTAATTTTTAACATTCTATAATCTATTTTCCCTTTCCCTTTACAACGATTAGTTACTGATGAGAGATCAAATCTTATTTCATAAAATAAAACAAAAAACCCCTCTCCACTGTATATACAGAAGATCAGAAATCCTTTTCCTATCTCATACATCCTAATAGAAAATTTTTTTAAGTTCCTCAAAGGAAATGTTTAGAGGTTTCTTATGTTTTGCATTATGCAATCCATGATGACACTTGGAAAAGTAATAACAAACTGATAAAAACAAGTATGGAGCCCTGGCTGGTGTGGCTCAGTATATTGAGTGCCTGCCTGTGATCCGGAAGATTGCCAGTTCAATTCCCAGTCAGGGCATATGCCTGGGTGGTAGGCCAGGTCCCCAGTTGGGGGCATGTGAGAGGCAACTGATCAATGTATCTCTCGTACATTGATGTTTTTCTCCCTCCCTTCCCCTCTATCTAAAAATAAATAAATAAAATCTTTAAAAAAAGAAAAACAGGTATGGAAACACTGCAAAAGAAACAGAAGAAAATTAAGTATTCAATATATGAGGTTAAAAATTTTTCTTTAAATATTTTATTGAAGTCAATGTCTACACAAAAAGATGAACCAATCTAAGATATTACAATTTCACCAAAATCATATAATACATTTAACTTAGATTTTAACAGGGCTCTCAGCTTACACATTTCCACTTACATCTTTCACCTTCAACCTAAACTTCCAACATGAACATTTTAATACATCTGTTTATTTTCTCAAAACAAATTATTTCCAAGTAAAAATTTTGTTTTTTCCAAATTAAATTAAAATATTAATAGAAGTTACCGATGAACTATTTCTAAATATTATTAAATTTAAAGCCTACAGAGCCTTTTCTCATTTTTCTCTTAATTTCTTTTTTACAGCACTGTACTCACATATTTTAGTAAAAAAAAAATTTCCCATCAACACTTTTTTTTTCATGACCACTCAAGGACCCACTTACTGATTTTTTAGAGAGAAAGGAAGGGAGGGAGAGAGAAAATGAGAGAGAACCAACTGGAGGACTGAACCTACAACCTAGGCATGTGCCCTGACCAGGAATTGAGCCCACAACCTTTCAGTTTACAGGACGATGCTCCAACCAACCGAGCCACACGGGCCAGGGCATCGTGTCAATACTTTTAAAGAAATTAAGTTTTGAATGTCATGTGTAATAAAGTATACTATTCTCTTTAAAGAACTTTCTATAGAGACTGTTACAATATATACATGAAATCAATAATGGAATAACAAAATTTGAGTGATTTTTAAAAATTCTATTATATCCTTATACGAAACGGAAACAAATCTGACCATATGCCTGTATAACCAGAACAGTGATTTCTTTATTAAAATGTAAATCATCAGATAATCTCTAATAAAACAATCCACGGAATTTCAAATTGTAAAGAAATGTTTCCTACCTTGCCTGCTTCTCTTTCTAAGTCGACATATTCCCGGCTAGGTGTTTGTCGCTGTTCTCCCTGCCAGCTGGCCGGAAAAAACTGGAGAGACAGATTGGTTCCTGTGGCCACAAAAGCCTTTTAGAAAAATCAATACAAACAGGATCAGGAGCAGGACATTACATAAATTATGCAGGCAGTCATTTATTTTTACATCAGTTTCTGTCTTAAGCCAGGCAGCACTGAGAATACTTAAAAGTAAAAAACATGCACTCATCATTTTTTTAAAGTATTAAGTTACAAACATCTGATTCCATTTTGAGGACATTTGCCATTGGCTGCTTAAATATAAAATCAAGACATGGAATCAATACTTTCTTTCAGGTCAGTTTTTGCTGACGTTAGGATTGCGCATTGCTAATGTCTAACCAGAAGCCACCATCCCTGAATTTAAAAACTTGTATTTTTAAATGTGAAAATCACCGAATATCTAAACATTCTGAATTTTAAAATGCATCACAATTTAGAGTTGTGTAAATGAGACATTTTAATTTTTTTTATTTCCCTTGTTCAAGTAAACGCTATGCTCTGAAGCCCATGAAAGTGCACAGGACTGTCTCTTCTGATAAACCATATATTAGCATATGCTGTGACAGCACTTCCCATTCCCTCTAAATCTTGGGTAATTAAAAAAATATGCATTTTCTAAAATCTGACTTTAGGATAACTGGATCTGACTATAACAAAAGCGTATTCATCTAATATTTATAAAAGACTTGGATGGCACAGCTCAACAGACAGAACATTCTACAACCATTTCAATAAAGTGCCATTCTGTGTAGTCCCTGAGCAATTTAAGTATATTTCCCCCAAGTAAAAAATGAAAACAACACTGTCTTTCTTCCCAAGGGAAATTAAGAATAAAAGCATTTTGAAAAAAAAAAATACATTTTTCATTATCTAAATGTAAATTTTTCTATGTTGAAATTTTTTGTTTTCTTTTACTAATTAAAATAGAACAATTTTGTTTTACTTTACAATTAAAGTTCTATAGCATAATGTTTTTAGGCTGTCTTCATCTGAAAGCAAGGGGTTCACATTTTGACAATTTGTTTAAAGCCTTTAGCTGATTCCACTATCCTCCAGTTCTCCTGATGATTAACGGCTTAGATTCTTTAGAGGTAAAAATTGTATTTCCCATTTCTATTACTGGTACCATTAGGTACAACTGTCAACCTAACTGCTACATCTCTACTGACAGTTTCAATGACATTTCTCTCATCAACTAGGATACCCTTTCTTATGAACAGACACTGAATAAAAGTCATTACAGTATTAACTTAAAAAATATCTTACCCCACAATTAGCATAAGTTTAAAAAACAATCAAGTGAAATGAAATGAACCAACATTACAGTTCAAGTGAAAAGCAGATTTGAGGAGGAGGCGGCAAACTGCCTAGGCTGTGTGACCTGAGGCAAGTTACTTAACTCTGTACCTCAGTTTCCTCACAAATTATTATTTGTAAAGTGCTTAGAACAGTACTAAGTAAATGCTATATAAGTATCTGCCAAATAAAATAAGAGAAATAATTTTGAGCTTTTCCCACCCTCAGATAATGAAATTCTCAGAGCAGAATGGTAGAGATAGATAAGAGACTCAGCCCCTGAAATTAATGCCCTGTGCCAAACCCCCCAGGCATATTTCTCAGTATTCACCTAGGAACAGATCCTTCCACCACCACCCCTACCTGAAATCAGCTCTGTGCGAAGTAAAAACAGTCTACATATCTCATTACCTCACCTCCTGTCTGAAGGCCAACCTCAGAAGAGATTTCCTGCTTCATCACTTTATACCCATTATCTCATCAAGATCCCTCTCTCTGAGACAGAAGTGATAAAAACAGATCATTCTAAAATAACATTTCCCAAATTTATCTGACCACAGAATTCTTTAATGGAATATCTACATATCCATAAGAGTTGGGAAAATTATGTTCCAAAACATAAAAATGCTACACTGGTACCCTGGCTATATGTACAATTTCCAGATTGTCGTGATTTAACTTTATAAGTTTCAATAAACTATAAAACAGCACACTGTGTGCCAATCCACCATAGTTTTATCCTTCCATTTTCAGGATTAAAAATACATGGTTTTTACTATTTTCACAGTACAGTCACTATACCTATCATTAAGTATTTTTTTCTTTTATTAATCATTATTGTTGAAGACATCGCCAACACTTTTACTACAGTAAGAACTTACCTGGGAAATAAATCAGAGTTTACCAAATAGATTCTATCCCTCATCCATAATCACTTTTATTCATGCTATGATAAAATCTGGGTAAGTTTTATAGTTAAGAAGAGGTAAGTATCACAGTCCTTAAATTATTTCACATCTAAATACAAAATAAATTCTTCATTAACCTCACTGACACATAAAAAAGACATTCAAAATAAAAAGAAAAGGAAAAAAAGGGTTGGGAATAATTTTGGGAACAACCAGTATGTATATTTTTACTATATAACTGCTGTCAAAATAGAGGCCAAAGAATGCCTTTTCCACATCTATTCTCCACAAATAAGTAAAAGCTACTACCTATTTATAAGTCAAAAAATAAATTTTGGGCATTACATTAAGTAATCTCTAAACTGAATTAATCAAATACCTATGATGCAAAAGGCATTGTGCAAAGTACCTGCACAAAGGGGAGTATATTAAATGAATATACCACAGAATTAATGCAGTCTCCACCCTTTAGGAGTTAAGAATACCATAATTTAAATGTGGAGAACAATGAATTAAAGAGGGGAAACTAGAAAGAGGGGGTAATGTGAAATTCCTTCCCAAATACAAATAGTTGCATTATTCAACAAATTAAGACACATATACTGTCTTAAGAGCAAATCTTATACAGAATTCGATGTACCTTCAACTTTTAATACTTGTCAGATATTAAGACCTTATTAAAATTTGTAAAATCAAATATTTAGAAGAGAGGAAGAACTAGAATGTCTGTCTGATTTATCCCTGGAAATTTATGACAAATACAAGAAGCCTATAAATATTATAATATATTACAGCAATTCAGACATACTGTGGGTTAAATTACACTTGCAGCTCATAATTACATGCAGTAAAGTCTAATAGCTTACATGCAGAAAAACTATAATAGCTATTCTTCACTTAGTTTTCCCAATAAACCCATCAGCTTTTAAAAATCCTGACTGTTCTGTGTCCCACCTTTTACACTTGTATCAATTACCTGCAGGAAATCCACTGGTTAGGTCTACCATCACCTTTTGCAAAAGGAAACCCAGGCAAAGAATAATATAATCACTGCACTAATAAATAATTCTTCTACCTCTCAGTGCCAAAACCAAAAAATATTTGTATTACACATTTTAATCATGATTATTACAACTACTCAAGAAATCTGACAGTGGGCTAAAAGCTGGAGATTTTCTTCCATAACATGCAATAATAACCAACCGTTCTAGAGTTCCTGATAAATTTAGCCAGTATCTGCTCATTATTTGTAATAGATTCTAAAAAGTGTTCACTTTAAATATTGAAATTTTCTTTAAAAATAAACTTGGTTTCAGGAATGAAAAGGGAGAATTTTATGGTATGCGAATTATATATCAGTGAAAATAAGTAGATTCTCTATAAAGAAGGTGGGATAAGTGTTCCAGTACGTCGTCCTATTGTTAACCCAAATTCAAACTGCGCTGCAGCTTCAAGTCTCTTCAAATGCAAGGGGCCCAACCACAGAGTAGGTAACTGGATTCTATTATATAGTATTTCATTTTTTAAGAAATTGAGAATCACTTTCTTTCGTTTCTTCATACCCATCCCTTGGCTTCTTCACCCCCCACCCCTCCATTAGCACCCGTACAGGACAAGCCAAAAGGAGATAAGGGGAACTAGAACACTTTTTTTTTTTACGTCAGGCTTGGTGGAGAGGCGAAGCACCAAATCTGCCACTTAATACACAGTCTCAAGATCAACTGTGGTTTTCGCTAATCCATGCAGCACTAACGGGGCATGCTTTTTAGGTTTGAAAAAAAGACGATAATGGTTTCTTTCGAAGTCTCCTGAGGTTTAACACTCTAAGAACACGGCATGTTCTCTAGGGCTTTGTTTGTTTGTTTGTTTCTTCCATAAGGACAATAGATAACTGGCGTAAAGATTTATTATTCTCAGCGATACTGGGCGGGAGAGAGCTTCACATGTAGACTTACCAACAAAACTAGCGTGTCAGAAACAAACTACAGCCCAGGAGTCAGGTCTTTGAATGAGGCCCAATTCTTTTTTCAGCAAAAGGTGTTTTCTTCCTTAGAAATACCCGATCTCTTACTCGGGTCACAGCCTACACAATAACCTTTCCTTGTCCAGCTGGCCTCGGGGTTGAGTTCCACTGACGGCAAACTGCAGAGTTTCAATCATGATCGTGTCTGGGAAACATACCCACCCGCCGAGGGCCACGGGGAAGCCTCGCTGCGCGGGGACGCGGCCCGCCAGTGTCTGCTTTCGCATTTTGAATCCCGAATAGGAAGTGAGACGGCGCCCGCTCAGTTCCGGGAGCAGCGGCGTCCGGAACCGAGCCGGGGCCGCGGCAGCTCCCGCGCAACAAGTGATCTGCACGCGCCTCGCCGCCCCGCGCCCCCCGCCACGCTGACTTACGATTTCCGAGCGGCCGTCCCGGCAGGCGTTCTGGAAGCGCGCCTGGCGCTCCTCGTGGGGACGGTCCCTGAAGCCCGTGTACTTAATCTACAAGGAAGAGACGAAATCAGGAGCCAAATCCGCGGCGGCGCCGCCCGCGCGCCCTCCCGCCCCGCGCGGCGCCGATAAGGGCAAGCAGAGTCTGTGGGCAGACGGTCGCCCGGGCGAGATTGCCCTCCGCGGGCGCCGGAGCGGGGCTCCCGGGTGCCCAAACTTTTCTCCGCCCGGGCCCACTCGGGGCGCGCTGCGGCCTCCCCGCCGCCCGTCCGCCTCACCTCGCATTCGCGGCTCAGCTTCCTGAAAAACTCCTCGTTCTCGAACTTGCTTCTCTGGTCGGGCACGACGCGCGGCATCTTCCCGCCCTGAGATCGCGCCGGCCCGCCGGGCTCCGGACTTGCGCGGGCACCCGCTGGCCGGCTCCGCGCTGACCGACTGACCGCCCACCCCGGGCGCCCTGACTCTAGCTTCCCTTTGTTTCAGGCGCCCGCCCGCGTGGGCTCCCGCTCCCGGGAGTCTGAGGTGCTGCGGCCCGCTCGAGCCCAGCCCACGCTGCCGCTGCCGCCGCCGCCGCCGCCACAGCCGTTGCCTACAGCCCGCGCGGACCCAGCACTCGCCGCCCCCCGGCCGCCGCCGCCACTTCCTCTCACCGCCCACCTCACTGGCCCGCCGGCCCCGCCCCCGCCAGCCCCACCCCTCCTCCTCCTCGGCCCCCCCCACCGCCCCAAACTCCTGCAAACAAAACGCACCATTCACAACTCCGCGACCCGCGCCGCGCATGCGCCGCCCTCCCGCTTGCCGGGCGGCTGGGTTGCGCGAACCCGAGCTCCTCCCGCGGCTGGGCCCTCTTCCCCTTGCCGGCCCGCGGGCCAGTCAGTCGGTGTGGAGCTGCCCTGTGTGGATCTGCCCGGTCCTTGGAGAAGGAGTAGCCCGCGCGGGTCCTTTCTTTCGACTGTGTGGAACTGTTAGGGTTCGCAGCCGCGTGGAGTAACCCCAAATTGTGACTGAACAATTTTTTTAAGTTTCGGGGGACTTTGCTTCCCCAGACCGGTAGGAATGGGTTTATGCTGTGCACATCAAAGACTAAAGGTGGAAACCGACCAGAGCATCCCACTAAATCCGCATCATGATGGAAAGGTCGGAGTTGTTGGTGTCAGATGGGTCCTAGATAGGATCTTACTCAACATCCCTGCCTGCTGCCTGGGGCCTTAGACAAGCGTTGGACCGCTAAGTCTCCATTTCTTTACTTACAAAGTTAAGACATAAACAAGTTGACAGTGTTAGCGTGAGAGCCTTTATGTAAGCCAAACACATAATGAGCACTCAATTAATTTATGTTTTCAAAGAAAAACAAGCTGAATTTATAAATATATCCTAATACCAGTCCACATATTTTTTACCTAAACGTGCAATGAAATCCTAAAAAGATTCGCATCTAGAAAAGCCATTTAGTTCAAGTTGGAGAGAGTCTGACATGAGATTTATGGCAGAGCTTGACTCAAAGTTGGGCCTCAATAAATTATGATCCTTAAAATTACAGCTTGTTGAAACTCAGTCCAAGGAATGCAAATGGTGCCAACTTAGATTGACAGTAGCTGACCATATTGCAAAGGACTGTGAAGATACACCTACACCCCCGGGAATCAGTGCCCAGGGCAATTGGCAATGTGTGAATGCAGAGTTCGGCGGAATTTCCCACCCCTGTCTAGTCCTATCTCCATTTTACAGGTATAATACTGAGCTAGGTTGACCAACTGTCCTGGTTTTCTCGAGACTGTCCTCTTTCGGCAACAAAATTCCCATGTCCCACAAAACCACCCAGTCCCTGGCAAAATGGGACAGTTGGTAACCCTAACCAAGGTCCAGGGCATGCTCTGTCACCTAAGGTCAGGGAGGGAATTTTCAGCAAAGTCAAATCTGTGTACTGGTGATTTTAACAAGCACACTCTTTCTGAATAGCAAACATAGAGTCAACTGTTTTCAAGGGCATGCTTCCCTGTCCCACCAGGCCTGTGTGAATGAATGTATGTGTGTACACAAATTGAAGGGGGTATAGAGATGGATGTCACCAACCACTATTGTTGGGCCTCCTTGCATCTCAGAATCTTCCTCTCAGGTCTTTTTCAACTGCAAGTGACAGAAATCCAATTCAAGTAAACAAAGCTAAAAGGGGGTCCATTTTATTTTAGTAAATAAATCAGACAGAGACAGTCTCTTTTTTATTTGTTTCTCCATTTCTTCTCGCTCCTTTATTCTCTCAAGCTCTCTTGATGGCATTAGTTTCCTGGCAAAGGATGGGAGCAGCCATTTCTTCATCTCCAAGTCATAAAATTCCTGGAAAGGGCTTTGATTGGCCTAGTCTGGGTCACATAACCTCCCCTCCACCAACGCACTATGCCCAGAATGATGTGATGACACTGGCCAGTTTATGTCACATGTTCTCCCATCTGGGATCGGGGACCTGGGAATGACAGCCTCGGAGAGAGCCTGATGGTTAAAAGAGGGAAAGAGCACTTTCACCCAACGTAAGGAGTGAGAGTGCTGTGCGGGCCCACTGAACAGTTTGTATCAGTTACATCTAGCAAAGGATGTCATTTTTATTTTGCTGCCTAAAGGCTTTGGTGAAACTGGAGGGGGAAACTCCACATCAGCACAGGCAAAGTGCAGACAAAACCAGCCTTAAAACATCTGCAACTTATTCTAAGAGGTGAGTGAAGCAGCCTCAATCCCAGGGCACCATGCACTAAGTCACTCACAGTAATAGAAGCATCATTCATCTGCTGCCTCTACCTCAAGTTTTCCCAATTCAACTAAGGCCTTTGGACACTAGGGCAACACAGCTACAGTCCAAATGAGAGGAAGATGACGACTTTGCTCCCAGTCACCAAGGACTGTCTAAAGGCCAGTGCTTAGGAAAGCAGTTTCTGCTGTTAGCCTCCACGGTAGGAAGAAAAGAACATCCATAGGATATCGTTCAGCACCACCATATTCTGTCTAGGTAGACATTTGTATAAAACTCTGTCTCTAAAAAAATGATGCATAAGGCAACCCTCTTAATCCACAATGGGTCCGGTTGGGGCTCACAGACCTGCATTTGATCATGGTCTTTGGATTCCAGTAATCATTGTTTCTGACAAGGAATAAATAAAAGTCGAAATATCACTAGAAAGGCTAAGATACCCAAACAGACACCATGAGCTTTAACGAGGAAAAGGTCAAGGTCAAGGCAAATCCTTTGTAAGTTCAAGGGAGTGGGAGGAGGACGGGTGGGAGTGCAGAGCACGGCATAGTACTCTGTGAGCCTCACGGGGGTGGGAAATGATGTCCTGAGGGAAAGGGATGAGAAAGCCTGCCAGGCTGACCCAGAACAGCAACACCACAGACAGCCTTTGGCAACTCCAGGCCACAGGGTAACCCACACTCGGCATTGTCTGGCGTCCAACTGGCCAGGAGGACCGGGAAACAAGCCGCAGGCTGAAGGAAGCCATCTCCTTAGCTGACCTCTGCATGCCTTTTTTTTTGTTGCTTTTGTTGTTGTTATTAAAACATTTTTAAACTTACTTTTAAAACAGAACTGAAGAAAATTAATAGAGGAAAGTTTCACCCGTGTCAACTATATTTAGCTCTGTGCTTCTGTCCAGCCTTGTTTGGATTGGTCCAGGTACTACTCTAAGGAGGGTTTTGCTAACAGCCAGCTCTGGTAGGGCCCACCGATAGGAGGCTGAGGGTACCTGTTTATTTTCTAGAAACACCCTCCTCACCCCCCAAATCTGGCTGAATTCTGTGAAGCCCCACTGCTTGGAGCCTTCCTTTCCTAAGGATTCAGCCAGCCCAGGGCCTCCTCTTCCTTACCATCTTGGGCGGGCAGCTGCTCCTGCAGGAATCCCAGACTGGTCTTGACTGGGTGGGCAGAGAATGCACAATGACACTGAACAGGCCATGGGAACCCTGAATTGTCTGGCTCTGAGCTGGTACTTTTGCGTCTCTTATTTCAGTTAAGTCACACAACCACCTTCTAAGACAGGTCTTCTCGCCCCCATTTGACAAATGACACAATAGAGACTCTGAACATGTAAATAAGTGACCATGGGACAGTGACGAGACCCTACCAATTAGAGATAAGAGAATAGCTAAGCATGGGAGTATACCATGCTTAGTGAGTCTTTGTTCACTCCTCACTGTAACCTTGCAAGCTTGGTGTTATTGACCCTACTCTTCAGATGAGGAAACTGAGGCTCAGAGGGGCTCATGATCCCAGGGTCATGCTCTTAACCACCCCACTCTAAGGCGTCTGCTGGTGGAAATGTCAAAAGTCCTACCTTTTTCCCTAATTGAACAGCAAGCTCATGCAGAGCTGTGGCTGGGGTCATTACTCCTGGAGCACCCAAACATGCTCCCAAGGGTCAAAAACAGGTTGAATGAAGGGGTCTTATTGTGGATCTTGTGGCAAGATGTGGCCCTTGCCCTTGATGGCTATGCATTCCTGTGCCCAAGCCCAACTCTCTGTCCTTCTTTGACTTGGAAGGTCAAGGCTTAGATGTCCTGCCTTCCCAAGTCCAATAGAAAGATTGGCTTTATCCAGGTCTGGTGTCGGCAGCCACCTTAACATCTTCCTTTCCTTGAAGAGGGAGTGAGGCCCTCCTAGGTCCCTGAGACTCTGGTGAATTTTTTCTAAGGAAACCATTTTTCCTTCAGTGACTGAGGAAATATTGTACCATCTAGAAGTTGAAATAGTAACTGAAGCCACAAGTGAGACTGGAACGGGGTGGGAGAGAAGGGAAATTAGTGGCTGGCACAATGCCTAATGCCCTAGCTTTATCCAGCTTCTAGTTTCTGGAGAGAGATGGGCCTAAGTCCAGGATGAGGGTGTCATCGGTCTGAATGAGGCAGTTTCCTGAGCCCTAAAGAATTCTTTTTTGAGGTATAATTTACATACCATAAAATTCACCCTTAGGCCCCTAAGAATCTCCCCTACCAGGAGGTTCGTTCTCCCCCTTCTTAGCTCCCGGGCCACTCTCCCCCACTGGCTCAGCCGTTCCAGAGGGAGAGGAAAGCGGAGAGGAGCAAGTTTCCCCAGAATAGCATTTCTTCAGTGTTGGGATCAATAAACCCGTTTGCTTAAAAGGAACCAGATGATTTCATCCTTGTAATTACAAGTTTGACGTTTGCAAATCTTGCCCAGGCTCCAAATGAGCCTCTTTGTCATGGGAGGCGAGAGATTTGTCTGGGTGCCTGGGGAAGGGGACGGAGCCTGGTGTGGTAGGAAGAGGGTGAGGCTGGGGTCAGGAGTTGTGGCTGACCACCTTTGAGGGCTGCTTTGGACTGCACCCCTTCCTCTTCCCTACTCTCCAAGTTTCTGGTGGGTGATAGGAAACAGACTAGACCAGCAGTCCCTGACCTTTTTGGCACCAGGGACCAGTTTCCTGGAAGACAATTTTTCTGTGGACCAGGGCGAGGGGGGATGGATGATTCAGGCCCATTACATTCAAGCTCACTTCCTGCTGTGTAACTCGGTTCCTAACAGGCCTGGACCAGTACCAGTCCACAGCCTGGAGATATTGGGGACCCCTGGACTAGACTAGGGGACTGAAGAATGACAGTGGTGAGCTCTAACCACACTGTCCTTCTGCCTAAGTCCCCACCCTCAAGTCTCCCATTTGCC